ATTATATTTTTATTTGTATTTATTTATTTGTTTACTTCTTTTCAAACAGTCATTTTTATTTATAATTCAAATAGTGTTTAAATTCAAAAGTAATGGATGTGTTTGTTCTTAACAGATATCAAAGTGCCTATATAAACTGGATTCTTACTCCGGAAAAAAATAATAAGGTATTCTGATTTGCTTTCTATTTCTTCTCATTATTTTCACCTTGGGAAGGAATAGGGACCATAACCTTTTAAAGGTTGTAATTGGTTTTCAAAACTGAAAGGTTGTGGAAGTTTAAAAGGAATGAAAACCAACTTTAACCATTATTGGTTTTAATTTCTATTTATTGGTTTTCAAAACTGAAAGGTTGTGGAAGTTGAAAAGGAATGAAAACCAACTTTAACCATTATGTTTTAATTTCTATTTCTGCCCCTCATAGAAATAGAAATTATACAACTAGTATCTACACATTAGGTCCATAACACATATACCCTTAAGCCTATTAACTAAATTGAATCACTTAAATTGTAGGCTTCTTATAAATGATAACACCACATTTAATTATGTAGTCCCATTGAGACATTATCTAACATCTCTCTCACAATTTCCTTGATTCTTTTCTTAGGACAATGTTTGAGTTAGAAGAACATAAACTCCTTTTTGGAGTCCCAGCACACTACAAAATACATACTCACCCTTTTTGCTCTCAGCCTTACACGTGCACACACACACACGTCAACACACACACACAGACAAAATATTCTAGCATAACACTCTCATACCTACACACCCACTGGTTTTCTCAATACACTCACACCTACATACATCCTTAATTTTAGATTCTTTCATAATTTAATTTATATTTAGGATTAATTTAATTAAGCATCACTTAGTCTTAATAAATCTTGATTAACACATAATTAAATCAATCATGACTAATCACAAATCCCACTTAGTCTAATTTGACTTCCTTTAGAGCCCAATTAATTATATTTAAATTTATCGATCTGAATTAGATTTTTAATCAAACTCCCAAAAGGCTCCAAATATTAAACTACAACAAAAAACACATTTGGCGACTCAAAAATTGGTCGCCGAAAGTACAAATTTCGTCGCCAAAAGAATCGGCGACAAATATACAATTTGTCGCCAAAGGCTTGTCACTAAAAGCATTGGCGACGAAATCAGAAATTGTCACCGTATGTAGACATTTAGCGACAAGAAAAATTGGTCGCCAAAAATCATATATTTTGTCGCTATAAAATTACAATTTGTTGATAAAAGGTTAAAATTTGGATAGGCTATGTAGTTTTAGCAACAAATAAATGCGTCGCCAAAAGTACTATTTAACGACAAAATTAATTTGGTCGCTAAAAATAACGTTTTTAGCGACGAGTAAGTTTTGGTTGCTAAAAGTTCTTTGAATAACCACTAACTTTTAGCAACAAAAACAATATGTTGTCGCCAAATATATTAACAGCGACCAAAATACCACCTGTCACTAAAAATTCAGTACACAAATTTTGATTTTAATAATTTTCCTGTTCAAAATAATCTAAAACACCTGTTTTCCTGTGCACAATATATACACAAATGTAATGTAAATAATAATACACCTGTGCAAAACATTCATACTAATTCAAAATTAATAACTATGAAAAATCCCAATAAACATAATTACAATTCTCTGACAATCTAAAACATACATACCAAAGTACTTACAAACTACTAACATCAAACCCATAAATACATTACCAAATGCTATGTCAAAATATTTTCAAAATTACAACCAAATATTTTGAGGTTAAACATCTAGCCAACAAGTCATTTACTAAAATCCTATGTCAAAATATTTGCAAAAATACAACACCAAATATTTTGATGCTAAACATTTAATCTATAAATCATTTACCAAAATCCTATGTCAAAATATTTCCAAAAACACAAAATCAATTCTTCTGATGCAGCCCAAACAAGCTGCCTGTGCAAAGTTTCGGTGGTTTCAGTGGTCATTTTGCAATTTCGGCCCCCCGAACGGGCCTTTTAAGTCTTGTGTTTTACATTTTTTCTTGTAATTTTCTAACCGGAAATTCAATCGAGGTCTCGTTTGTTCCTACAAGTCTATTTAGGTTTGAACAAGTTGTCCGTGCCAAGTTTTGGTGGTTTCGGTTGTCATTTCGCAATTTCGGCTCCTAAACGAGCCTTTTAAGTCTTGTGTATTACAATTTTCCTTCTAATTTTCTAACCGGAGATCCAATTGAGGTCCCGTTTGTTCCTACAAGTCTATTTAGGCTTGAACAAGTTGTCTGTGCCAAGTTTCGGTGGTTTCGGTAGTCATTTCGAAATTTCGGCCCCTGAATGGGCCTTTTAAGTCTTGTGTTTTACATTTTTCCTTTTAATTTTTTAACTAAAAATCCAATCGAGGTCCCGTTTGTTCCTACAAGTCTATTTAGGCTTAAAAAATCCATTCATGCTAAGTTTTGGTGGTTCCGGTGGTTATTTCACAATTTCGGCCCCCGAACAGGCCTTTTAAGTCTTGTTTTTTACAATTTTCCTTCTAATTTTCTAACCGGAGATCCAATTGAGGTCTCGTTTGTTCCTACAAGTCTATTTAGGCTTGAACAAGCTGTCCGTGACAAGTTTCGGTGGTTTCGGTGGTCATTTTGCAATTTCGGCTCCCGAACGGGCCTTTTAAGTCTTGTATTTTACAATTTTCCTTCTAATTTTCTAACCGGAGATCCAATCGAGGTCCCGTTTGTCCTATAAGTCTATTTAGGCTTGAACAAGTTGTCCGTGCCAAGTTTCGGTGGTCATTTCACAATTTCGGCCCCCGAACGGGCCTTTTAAGTCTTGTATTTTACAATTTTTCTTCTAATTTTCTAACCGGAGATCCAATCGAGGTCCTGTTTGTTCAACACAACCAGACATATTAAATGAAATGCTTGCAGTGATTTGAAAAGTAAATTATGAAAAATATACTTACAAAAGTGTTTGTCAATAAGATTCCTCTGATGAATAATTATTTTCATCAATCTGCATGCTTGCCTGATCCTTGGTCATCCCCATAAACTTCTCAATCTCTTCAAATCTTTTGTTTTGCATTTCAATCATTTTAGCTTGCTCTTGTGCTACCAGGTTCTGGGCTGCAATTTGCTCTTGCTGGATCTCGGACAAATTCTTCAATGACCCTAGTTCTTTTTGTAGGCTCGAAACCACCTCAGTATGTGCTTGTGCAATAACAGAAGATCTGCATGATGATGGTTTTGGACCAACTCCAAAGCCTTTTAAGTATCCCGATTTCTTTCCAAGAATCTCGATTGACAGCTGCTCCTGAGTTAAAGGTATTGCCCCAGGCTCTAAAGACTTTTCATGTCACTTTTTCAAAGCTTCCTATCAATTTGTAAATAACTTCAACAAATACCATCATTTACATAAATATGTAACTCTATTAATTGGCATACTTACATGTAATTGACCACATATTGGGGCTACCCAATCCGACTTTCTCTTGCTCCAATGGGAATCTTTGTAGAAGTCTACAAAGTCAGTCTTCTCGGTACCCTAATTCCATTTAAAAGTAAGCATACATAATTAATTTCAATCATTATGTTAGATATAATAAATGCATCACCTGTTTATACATTGCAGCTTGAAATGACTTGGAGCCCATTGTATGATTATATGGTAACCTTGCTCGACTATCCCTTGCTGTTTTAGCCAAGTTCTGCAAAATTAATTGATTAGTAAAATTAAATTGAAATTACAACACGATTCTTTAAATTAGGAAATTTTACCTGATAATCGCCATCAAGCCATACATGATCGATCATGTATACCCAAGCCTCAGAATCGACCCCTTTGTATGGTTTACTATTAGGGTTAACACCAACGTCTACCAACTTCGAGTAATAAGTCTTCATCTTGTTACGCCAACTTCTGTAAAGAGTTTTACACTTTTTATTGACTCCTTTCCAAACCTCTTCATCCTCATCATAATCAACAATCTCAAATTTATCCTACAAATATAATGAATGCTTTTATTAATATCAAAATGCAAGTAATGGTGATAATCTAACTATCTGAAAAGTAGCAAATACATGTACCCGAACTGCTTGAATGATTGGGGCTTTATGAATCTCATCAATCTTGTCCCATTTTTTTATACCAATGATTAGAGCAGCCATCCTTATCTGTAAGCCAAGTTCATTTGCAAACGGAGTGGCATAAGGTCCTACTGGCACTTTGCATCTGCAGGGATCCAAACAGGAAGTTTTTTACCACCATTGTTAGCTATGAGACACGCTATGCTCTTCCCTCGAGTCTGACCCTTGACTTGTCTAGAACGAATACGCAAACTAGTGGTAGATGGCACATCATGGGTAGTAGTTGTATTTGTAGATGGTGCAGCTTGAGTAGTAGCTACATTTGTAGATAGTACAGCCTGGGTTGTAGTTGCATTTGTAGATGGTGTAACCTGGGTAGTAGTTGCATTTGTCGGTGGTGCAGGCTGGATACTTAGAGCATTTGTAGATGGTACACTCTGAATAGATGGGGTTAAAATAGGTGGTGCATGCTGAGTAGGGGCAGCAATTCTAGCTGCAGCTTGTTGGGAAGGTAGAGGAACTTTGGATGATGCTGCATGTCGAACTTTACCAGGGCCTGCCATCTAGCACAACAACTCAACAATTACATGTGTGAAGCATATGTAAAATAAGCAATTACATTAATATCAATGGCTATATAATAGAATCAATATCAGACATAATTGATAACTAAACAATAACATAACATAAGAAACAAAAAAAATAAAATAGACAAAGAGAGAGACAGAGAGGGACACACACAAACACATATATATATAAAAAAAAAAATCTTTTTAAATTGTCATTGTACTCAAACTCAAAGGCACTTAAACAACAGTGTCATAAAAACATAAAAATGACACAACAATTAAAGTTCTATGTCAAAATCGATATTACAATCAAAATGATTATGTAGCTCATCTTCTCGAATAGTCAATGCTCGTAGTAATCATCTTCATTATCGCACCCATCTTCCTCATCAACACCATCGTTGTGTGCTTGATTAACTAATTGTAAAACCACCTCACTTGGGATAATTTGAGGATCAATGTCATTCCTATGAAGTGAGATTGTCACGGGGTCTTCGACGCTCACTGGGACAGCATCAGTTGTTTCATTTTGTTGCAATACATTGTCAGGTTCAAAGCCATCTTGTTCTGGTACATCCCATATTCCTCGATGTTGTAGTCTTTCTACAACTTTCCAATGTCCGCCTAACTTTGTATCATCAACGTAGAAAACTTGTTTCACATGACTTGGTAAGACAAATGGATCATCTTTATACCATCGCCTTCTAACATCAATACTTGTGCAATGTGTATCGGTATGTAATGTTCTATTGTTACCGGTATTGAACCATTCGCATTGGAATAAAACAACTCGATGTCCAAGCATGTAATGCATCTCCCACACTCTATTCAAGTACCCATAAAAGTTAATTGTTTGTCTCTCATGCTCCCCTTCCACAACTAACCCACTATTTTGGCATTTATGACTACTATCACGATCCTTACTATGAAATCGAACACCATTGGAAATGCAAGCTGAATACAAGTTAACATTCACACTAGGACCATTTGCTAATGACCACATATCATCAGTTGCTTCTGGTAATCCTTGAGCTCGTAATTGGTTCATCTACATAACGACATCAATTTTAATCATTATGTTAGTATTCATATAAGTGTAGCTTAATAAAGTTTGGGATTATATCTTACATGTTCTTTGAACCACTTGGGGAATTCCTTTTTCTGTCTATTTGTGATGTCACATACACCTTCATTTTCTAAAAGATTCTTGGGTTGCATACTTTACAAACATATGATTCATAAGTAACATATTATATTGAAAACATAATTCTACAAAAAAAAAATATTAAGAACGTGCTCTAGATAATGGTCAAGCTCGAGGCTATTATTCAAGACAAATCAATGAGCCATTTCACGTTCTTTTTGAGACACGTTAGAAACCCTTGTAATTAGCCCAAAAGGACGAACATTTTGCGCGAAGACCTCTATCCCCGACTCATGCACACTAACATCGACATTCCGTTCCTCTCGATTAAATACAGTTTCAATCCCACCTAGATACATTGAGCAAAATGTGAGACACTCCTTGACAACATAAGCTTCTGTGATCGAACCTTCTGGACGAACTCGATTTGCAACATATCCTTTTAAAGTTCCAAGTAGCCTATGAAACAAACAATAGAATAATCTTATTACACACACACTCATATTTTTATAAATATATATATAGGTTGTGCTACAATTTAAGTATTCTAGTGTTTTAATAAGTTAGTAAGTACCTTTCAATGGGGTACATCCATCGATATTGCACAGGCCCACCAAGAATGGCTTCACGCGGCAAATGAATCGCCAAATGGACCATCACATCAAAAAACGTTGGTGGAAAAATTTTTTCTAACTTGCATAGTATGAATATTATGCAATCTTCTAATATTTCCAAATTCTTCATCTTCAATGTCTTCGAGCAAAGCTCTTGGAAGAAATTTTCCAACTCAAATAATGCGACACAAATATCATTGTGAAGATATCCACGCATTCCAATGGGAAGAAGCCGCTGTATGAGGACATGACAATCATGACTTTTTAGGCCTGTTAACTTATCACCTTTTGTGTTCACACACCTTGAGATGTTTGCTGCATAACCATCAGGATACTTAATTGACTTTAAAAACTCACAAAAACCATATCTTTCATCTGAGGACAAAGTGTACAATGCTAGGGGCTTTTCAAAAGATCCATCGGCACGCCTTTTTAAGTGCAACTCCTTCCCTATTTTCATATCTTCCAAATCCATGCGTGCTTTTCCTGTGTCTTTGTTCTTCCCATCTATACTCAGTAATGTTCCAAGCAAACTATCACATATATTCTTCTCTATGTGCATAACATCGAGGTTGTGTCGGAGTTTAAGTGTTTTCCAATATGGCAACTCAAAGAAGATGTTTTTTTTTTTTGTCCAATTCAATACTGGATTTTCCCTTTTTCTTTTCTTATTGGTTGGATGCTTTCCAAATGGTTTGAATGTCCCTGAATCCAATTGTTCTAAGATTTGTTCCCCTGATAACTCTAAAGGTCTTGACAGGAACTCAGTCTTACCATTATAAAGTCGACTCCATCGCCAAGGGTGGTCATCAGGCAGGTAACGACGAGCGCCTGTGTACCCTATCTTACCTCTCAACCGTTGTGAGGAAGCATTTTTGTTACAGGTGGGACAAGCCAAATACCCTTTCGTACTCCATCCTGACAAGTTTCCATATGCAGGAAAGTCATTAATTGTCCACATAACAGCTACAAGCATTTGAAAACTTAATTCAATTAAGGCATCATAAGTAAGCACACCATCTTCCCACAACTCCTTTAACTCATCAATTAATGGTCGCATGTAAACATCGATATCTCTCCCTGGTGCTTGTGGTCCAGGGATAAGCAATGACAGCATACTAAATGCTTGTTTCATACATTTCCAAGGAGGCAAGTTGTAAGGCATAACAATCACAGACCACATACTGTACAAGTTGCTCATGTTTCCAAAAGGATTGAAACCATCAGTGGCCAACCCTAACCTCACATTTCGACTCTCTCGGGAAAACAAAGGATGTTGCCTATCAAAATCCTTCCATGCCTCACCATCAACCGGGTGTCTCAATATCCCATCATCTACTCGTTTCTCTTTATGCCATCTCATATCTATTGCTGTTTTTCTCGACATATATGATCTCTGCAACCTTGATGTCAATGGGAAGTATCTTAAGGTCTTGTGAGGAACTTTTTTACCTTTTCCATAATTCGACTTGTATCTAGACTCTTGACAAATCGGACAATTCTCTAAATTTGCATTCTCTTTCCAGAAAAGTGCACAATCATACATGCATGCATGAATCGACACATATCCTAAGCCTAAGGCACGTAAGAATTTTTTGGCTTCATAAAGGATCCATGGAATCACTTGATCACTTACCGGTAGAAGGTCCTTTAATATCCCCAACAACATGTTGAAAGACTTATTGCTCCACTTGTTCAACACCTTCACATGAAGCATCTTAACAACAAATGATAAAAGAGAAAACTTATGACACCCAGGGTACAACTCTCTTTGAGCATCATTCAACAATTTGTTAAAGTTGGGCACGCCCTCTTTTTCAACATTGTTAGCCACATCATCGTCATTGTCATTGTCATTATCACTGTCCTCCTCATCCTCTTCATTTTCATCATCATTTATGGTAGTCCCCATGTAAACATCTTCTAACAAATTTAGGATTTCATCTTAATCTTCGCTTGTCTCTGCTTCCATTCTATCCCCAACACTTCCAAAGTCATTGTGGTTGTCATTATTCAATGCATGAGATTGATTCATGGAAACAGATTCCCCGTGATGCACCCAAGTCTTATAAGAAGGGGACATCCCTTTCACAACTAAATGATACTCCACAATTTTACAAGTATGTCGTTCACAATTCAAACAGTCCATACATGGGCAACGAATCTTATCATTTGGCTCTACATTCATCATTGCAAATTGAACAAAAGCCTTCACCCCATCTCGATACTGGGAACTCATCCTATCCTTAAGTAACATCCAACTCTTGTCCATATTTGGTCACCTACAAAGCCATGGTTATGTGACATTCCTTTGAATTAGAGAATTACATGTCAAATAGTTCCTTGAGTCAGATAAGTGTTTGTCATATCATGAATGCTCAAAACATTAGGTAAACATTGAGAAATAATAAAAAAATAATATTTTCTCTCAAAAAAGCCAAACCTTGAACCAATATGGTGAAATTAAAGAACAAAACAGCTCACAAATAGGGCCTAGAAGGGTAGAATCAAGAAATTCAGGTTATGTTCCTGTGTGTACTTCTCTATGATGAGTATGTATATGTATTTTAATTATTTATTTAATGAAAGTTGAAGTTTTTATAATTATTGTTATACATTTTTTTAATTTAACATTTAATTTAAAGATGCTGCATGTACACATGATCACATTGTATAGTATAAGAAACTATAAGTCAAATTATATGGTGATCTTCCACAAAGGAAAAAAAAAATTGTCTCTATTTTTACTCATGTATTGTAAATTACAATGGATGTAGAAGTAATTGTTTGGTAGAGAGATATATGCAGAGATATGGATACCAACATCCTATTGGCCTTGATGGCTGTTTTTCAATTTTCTATTGCTTTTGTTTTAAAAAGTATTTAAAATAAAATTATTTAAAGTGAAACTAAACAAAACCATTCTTAATGTTAGAGCTTAAATTTCCTTATTTAAACTAAAAATCATACTTAACTACCAAAATGTATTAAGAATATTAAATTTTACATCTCAAACTTTGCATTCTGGTGCTTTAATAACCTAAGACTTTTGCTAATGCACCAATTAATGGCCTTTAATGTGAGGTTATTATCATTTGGTGCAACAAAAGGATACCTTTTTACAGCATCACCACAAACATAGTAGGGTGAGACTTACACATTTGATAGGTCTCACTGTGCACTTTGAATTTTGTATTAAAATTTAAATAGACAGTGTTTAGTTAAAATATATATAGTGTTTGGTGCAATTTATTGCATACTAAAAATAAAAACAAAAGTCAAAACAACTTTCCTAACCTTTGAGATAATCAATTTTCGTTTCAACTTATTTAAACTATGAATAATTCTACCTATACTACAAACTTACTAAAAATCTTACAAAAAATATAATAGGCCAAATGTGATTGGCTGTTAAAAAATTAATGATATTAATCATCTAATGATATTTGAACATATATGTTTTTAGTAATATTGTTAGCAAGACTTTAAATAGACGTAGCATTGCTCTTAAACTATTCTTACCTAATAAACTATAAACAGAAACTATACAAAACAGTTTAAATTGATTCTAAAAATAATAAATAACTATAAACAACTCATATAAACCATACAAAACAGTCCCATAATGTGGCATGAACCACATATAAACTGAAGGTTAATTTACAGTTTGCCCTTTTATTTTTTATTTTTTTGATCAACAACAAATAACTCTTTATTGATGATGGATAACCTTACAGAAAGGAAGAAAACATCAACAAAAAGAGAGGGATGATGCAAGCAATACAGCAACTACAAACCAAAATAGAGGCATGCAACCTAATCCAAATACAAACAAAACAAAAAGAGGCATGGAACTAGTGCTAGCATAGGCCAAAAACAGCAACAGACACACATCAGATTAGCAGATTAGCATCAGGTTATCACCCAACAGATACAGACCAGCCACACAGCAGCAGAGAACCAGATTAACAAAAAATCATATTATCACCCAACAGATACAGAGTAGCAGATTAGCCTCAGATACAGAGTAGCAAACCAGCCACACAGTAGCAGAAAAACAGATTAGCAGATAATCAAATTATCACCCAGCAGTCCCACAAACAACCCTCATTTTGTATGATGTGGCAGGAAACATGCATTTTCTATATAATTTTGAACAAAAGTTAGTTTTAGGAGTAAATTAGAAAAAAACTTGAAACATGAATGATCAAAATAAAAAGATAACTGATTATTTCTCTTTTCTTTTTAGGCCTGTTTGGGACTTATATTTTGGCTAAATAGTCAATAGAAAAAAATAGTTAATAAAACAAAATGTCATGTCCTATACATTAATCAACAACTTTTTCTTTTACAATTATCTATTCACCTACAAAAAAAATATCCACAAATCATCCAAAACATAATTCTTTTTCATTTCATAAAAAAATTAAAAAACCAACTAAAATAGTCAAGTTGCTAAATGACGTATCTAGTCCCATTTTTTTGACAACTAGACTTATTAAATTTAATAAGGTTATATAGTTTCAAGATCATAGGTGTAGAAACTAAAATGACTAACTTGATAAATAAATTTAAAATGCCCTAAAATATAGTCAAAGCTTACTTGATGTAGTAATTGCCCCCAACGAATGATTGCATCTTTTTTATCTCTTTGCATTAGCCAATAACCTATAACATTTGATTTGTAAATCAAAGTTTAAATTAAAATCGCACTGTACATGAAATTAATAGAGAGTGGACATGAAATGAATGTTATATGATGAAATTATTAAAAGGGTCACCGATACACAAAATACCTATAATTTTTTGGGTAATGAATAGTTGTAACTTGTAAGAATATTCAACACAAAACTGTGGTCCACCCTCATGACACACCACTTGAATAAAAATACAAAAAAAATGCAAGTTCCCTGGTTCATTCACATACCCAACAAAACAAAACAAGAGTCATATTTTGCATACTCCATCTAAACCAATGGCAAAGATGATCTCAGCCAATGCTCTTGAATATCCCATTAACATATGCTTCTTAATGCCATGTCATGCTGTGTGCTCACAATCGATGGGCCTCATCGACACACTGACAGCGGTGGTAAATATTAATCCAAACAATATTTTTTCACTTTTTAACAATGAAAAATATTTTTCACCCAAACAAATTCTTTTTCATTGACTATAAAAAATATATTTTTTTGTTAACTTTTGTTTTCCTTCATAAAAAACTATAGAAAATACAGAAAATAAAAAATAACTTTCACTTAAACAAACGAGCTTAAGTTTGATCTCTGTTTTCTTGGTAACATCCATTTACCTTTTTGCCTTCTAATGCTATATAATACATCACCAAGAAATAAAAAAAATAAAAATAAAAAATAAATTTTCAACCAGTCTGTGGTTATTGTAAGCAGATATAATATATATATATAATAAATAAATAAATAACAGAGATTATCACAGCTCCAAAATCAATCGCAAGAACAGAGACAGACACCATAATATGGGTTGCATCAAAGAATTCTCTATAAAGTCTTATATAAACCATCCTTGCATCTCTTGAAAAAGCTCTACATTTTGTTTCTTACAAAAATCAGTCCAAAAATTCAGAACATACCAATCCCGAAAATCAGTTCCAAAATCAGTCTAAAAATCACAATATATCAGTCCCGAAAATCACAATATCAGTCCGAAAAATTATATTGATGACAAAGAAGAAAAAGAGGAAGATGAGAGAGTGTGAGAAACTGAGGGAAAAATTAGTCCCATTGATTGTGTTGTGTTCTGCAATGCCGAACAAGACAATGAAATTGATGATAAAGAAGAAAGAGAGGAAGATGAGATAGTGTGAGAGAGTGAGAGGGAGAATGAGAGGGAGTGGAAAAGAGAGACGAAGAAGAGGGAGAGAAAACATACCTCTTTGTGCCGCTTCAGGTTGTGCAATGAGAAGATGAAGAAGACTCCTTTTAGGTCAATTTTGTTTATTCACTTAAAGGTCATTAAAAAAAAAAAGGGATTCAAAACGACGTGGTTTTGACAAGAAATTTATTGGCGACGAAAATTATTATGTTGCCATAAATATCATTCACTTTTCAGCGACTAGTTTAATTCTGTCGCCAAAAAGTTCCAAATTGGCGACAAACAGTTTCGTCACCATATATTAATTTTGTCGCCAAAACTTTTTTAGCGCTCCCGCGCGACAAATTAAATTGGCGCCAACCATTTTTCGCGACGAATTGAGATATTTGTTGCTAATGGTGTATTTTTTGGCGACCAACACATATATTATCGCCAAAAACATACAATTGGCAACTAAATTCAATTTTGTTGCTAAAAAACGTCGCAAAAAATGCTTTTTGTTGTAGTGAATTAAACTTATTGTCATCATAAATTTTGATTTCTTAAATCATTTAGGCCTTCAATTTTTTATCAGACTCCAAATTTTCGTCAATTAAATTACATATTCAAATTGGACACCCCATAAATAAATTTAATTCGTAACAATCAAAATTCTTAATCCTCATAATTTAATTAACTCCAATTCGGACCTAATTAATTGAATCTCAATTTTACTAAACTGAATCGAGTATTTAATTAAACTCCCAAATGGATCCGTAATTAAAATTAAATTGATTCAACTTCTTAATTTCACTTCCTTAAGTCATTTGGACTCTTAATTTCCAATTTCAAAATAAATCTTTAATAGAATCATATATGAATCAAATTCTACAATTCTCATAAATCTCAAATTAAATTAGGATAACGACTAATTAAAATCCCAAATCTCTTTAATTAACCAAATATAAAATATTATGCGTGGCAGGGTTGTCACACATGATTAACCAATAAACCATGATTAAGGATGCTTAATAAGGAATGAAGATGAAATGTTGAGTTACTTCCATGTGCATTGCATTA